ACGGCCCCGGCGTCTCGCCCCAATGTTGCTGCCCTTTCCTTCCATAGTCAACATAAACAAACTAAGATGAAGGAGGTTTTAGGGTTACCTGGTAACGTCTCGTAACAGGGTAAGCAGTGAGGATAGAAGAGAAACAATCCGCTCAGGATGCACACTGTCAAACTCTGTTCCTCCGCAAAAGTGAATAACCTCCTTCTGAATCGTGCTGACAGAAGCCAAACCGTTTAATCGTCAGGCGCCGTCCGATCCTTTCTAATCATACGGCTATTACGAAGCGTCCCCTCACTTCCCTACAGGAGCGGGAAAACCAAAATTCGTAACGCCCGCTACAGCTGTCATACACTTCACACATTACTTAAAAGTCCTCATAACTTGTCATCAACCCATTTATTCGGACTTGGGGGGCTTGTACTATAGGATACCTAATCCTCCAACTGTCGACCAATAACCCGACGACAATTAACCAATGCAGGACATTCTCATGCAGTAAGTGACATCCGACCACTTAGTGTGGTCGACCACTAGACAACCGACTATAATAACATACGACCATGTGGCGTTGTCGTCATTAGTGTGAGGCTCGACAATCGACACGTCGTCCGCCAGATCGACACGCATGATGATCGACATACAATATGCGACATCGTGATCTAGCGGTTACAAATAAACAGTTACGCATATTGGCTAACAAGCGCCGTGAATCATGGAAGTACTTGACTCAATATCTAGCAGTTATAACTTATAGATAGCCAACTCCAGTAACCACCCGAGAGATTTCAGGTAAACGGTTTATTTTTACTCCTTTAAATACACACAGCATACCAGAAAAAAAGGTACGTTTTTCCCCTAAGAGAAATTAAGAAAGATTCAGTTGCTCTAAATAAGACCATATTGACTTGAGTGTCGGAGTGCCTTTGCAGGTACCCAGCCCACCCGTACTCGAGCTTTGGAGAAGAGAGAAAGACGGACATAGTGGAAGCCAACACAGAGAAGGAAGAAAGTAAGGTTGTTAGGTTCGTATCTTGGTCCCTACATCCCTACTGAAACAACACCCATTTTTCCAAAGAAGGACAACAAAATCGAGAGAGAACGCGGAAGGGAGGATTTGCATTGGAAGAAAAAGGAGCGGCACCGGTGGTACTAGGCAGTGGAACTCTCGCGCTTGGAAGAAGGAAGCCCTCGCGCAGGGAGGAAAAAGAGTGGCACTAGCAGCACCGGCGGTGATCCCGTTCGTGTGTTGCAACAACGTCTGCGCTGGCGATCAGTCACGGGGGACGGGGGTTGTGCCAGTGTCAAATATGGGATAAAGGAAAACCCTGGGCGGTGAAGAAAGAAGAGAGGGGTCGGGCTTGACGCTGGCAATGGCTCCGGGACGGCCTATGACGCTGGCGAGTCCCCTGTGATGGCCCGTGTCTTCGCCGGTGACTAGATGAAGGTCAGTACAGCAGGGCTTGGTAGAGACAGTGAGGAGAAGGTGGAAGTGAAGCCCTAGTGAAAAAAAATTACAAAAAAGGAGTGTTGAATTAAATTATAAATTATTTAATTTTAATTCAAAAAATAAAATTTGTGTAAAACATGTGTCATCCTACGTGTAATGTATTTTTCTGTTTCAATATCTTCCTACATTATTCTTCATGATTAACATTTTTTTTTTTAGTTTTTGTTCAGGGGTGCATGGTCTTACGCCAAATTCGAGTAAGGTTTTATGTTAAATTTGAGAATGGAGATGGTTGAGAAGTTTGGACAGGAATTGGGTAGGACTAGTAGGGGATTGATTGTGGCAAACCGAATAGGCTATTGAAAATATTGGTTGAATTGCTGGGAAGTTCGACTAAATTATGTGAACAAATATTTATAAGAGGTACTATGATTAAATATGTATATTGTGTATACGATGTTTTAATAAAGTAATATTTGAGATTTTTTTGTATGATAATTATTCATTCTAGCAATGGTACAATTTTAAAGCGTGATTTTTGATAAGAAAAATAAAATAGCAAGTTTTAATTTGAATCAATTTTTACTTTTAACAATTTGTGTGATACTTCGACCAGAGAGTTGTTAGAAGCAACTTTAAGGAATTATTCATTTCTTATAATATTTTTTTTATTTTAAGCTAGCTGTTTTAATATATTTTTATCTCAACATGATATATTTATGAAATAAAAAATATAAAATACCAAATATTATATTATATATTATATACAATACAAAAGTTGTAGGAAAAAAAATAGTAAAATAGTAAAAAACACGAAAGTGTTTCCACTGGGAGAACAAAAAAGGAAGACCATGATAGATAGAGTCCCCCCGTAAAAGTTGTCCTAAATTATTGCTTCCAGTATCACGCGACATTAACTCCTATGATTTAATTTTTTTGGAAAATTTACATTTTATGTAAATACAAACCCAAACAATAAACAAAACCTTCACCATGCGTACATGGCTGTGAAAGTCTCTATCACATCGTGGATTTAACTCTTATATTAAAAAATATATATATCATTTAATATTTATCGATAAAAAAAAACATAACATGAATATTAAATTGAAGTTGCATATTGACCTATATAGAAACTGTGAGAAACTCTTAAGATTAAAACTGCAGGTATTTTAAATTACTTAGCAAGTTAATTATTATTATATTCTATAACAATTATTTTTAAAATGTATTATTGTAAAGAAAATTAGATTTTGTATCACATAAAGAGTGAGTTGGTATTTAATTTTTTTCCTTACACTATTAAAATAAATTCACTCAAATTAAGAGAGTTTTTTTATTGTCTTACAAAGTTTTGTTACATACAGACTCACCTTCAAAACATGTAATAACACAGTATATCTTGAACAATCCTTAAAAATATTTATATCTAAAATTTCAAGTTAATACATATTTTATACACGCATCATTTTATAGTACATTGAAAATACTTTTAATATGTTTTGTTTTTAATTTTTAAATTATCTTCTTTTAGTAGCAATAAATTAGGTTTATTTTAATTTTGTATTTACAATTAATCTAACATTTGCTTACTATTTTTTCATAATTTTTTTAGAAATTATTTTTAGTTTATTCCAATTACATTGAATTATAAATGCATCTAGGATTTAAAAACAAGTATATGATTTGTTGTGTCTGGAATCTTGTGATATTTGTAGACGTGACATATTTATTGAACTTGTGTATGAAAACTCTTATATTTGATTTCTTTTATCTTGGCTTAATTTTTTATAAATTAACTTGTGGATTTAATTAAAATTCATATTCTTCATGTTTACATTTGATTATTGAATATACAAAAACAAGCAAATCTACCTCAATTTTCAAAAATCAAATAAATAATAGTACAAGTATGTATTTTCTTCTTTCATAGTATATTTTATTTTTTTAAAACTATGTGACAACTTTGTTAGCATAATACACATTTGATAACCAAGTTTTGCAAAATGTCTTTCAAAATAATCCGAGTTACCACTTTGTTAGCGTAATACACATTTGATCAGAGATACCACTGCCCCCATAAACATGCAAAATGTCTTTCAAATAATCCGAGTTAATTAAGAGTTGAACATTGCTATCGTATAATTATAAATATAAATGATGTAAGTACGTTATAACTCTATACACATTATTCTTATTTATAAAGAAAGGATACACTGTAGTAATTCTTATTTACATCGTGTGTAAACTTAATCAACATTGATCTTATATATAAATAATCGTATACACAATATATTAAGAATCTATACTGTTTTTATTATGCTAAATTAAAAGTGATCAAATGATATAAATTATTTTTTTTGGCAGATATATATGTATATGAAAACTTATGGACCTTTATGTATGGTGATTAAATAAATTTATTTTATAATGGATAAATAGAAATGCTAAAAAACAATCTAATATGTCTTTACATAAATATATTAAGCCCATATAAAATTTATTTTTTACTATTTTGACTAACATCTCATTATCAATAAGAAATGATGAAATTACTAAAATGTTGTGTTGGTCTAAAAGGTCAAACCTATTCGTTTTCTTATTATTACGAATGTAGGTATTTTTTTGTTTTTTAGTTTAAATTATTAATATGAAAATTTATAATTATATAGATTATAATTTTTCATTTTGGTTCCACTTATATAAAAAAAATCTCTTAATCATCCTATTAGTAACTAAATTAATCAACTTATATTTGAAACTTCATTTCTTTTTCAAACAATATTATTTATATGCAATTGAACTACCAAAATCTGATTAAATATATACATGGCATTGGCAAGGCAATGATTTATTATATGCTTATATATTTAACAAAATAATAATATAAAAAATGAAGGAAAAAAATTAAAGTTAACATTGTCCTAAAATTGAAAATGAAATTCATGGGAAAAATGTTGCATTAAAGTTTTAGGTTTGGAAGTTAGTGGGAGAGGCGACAGTTGGACAACTGTACAATTGTGACTAAAATGATATAACATACTTTTTCTGTTAAAATTATTACTTTCGTTTTAAATAAATAATGAGTAATTCTAAACGATGTCGTTCATTAATTAGAAATATCGTGATCATAAATTTCATCTGCCTTTACGGAAAAGTTCTTCATTATAAGGATAAGGATGACCATATATATAAACTTTTTATCATCAAGTGGTTCAAAAGTTTGAATTATACTAATTTTAGATATGAAACAATTTATGCTGAAAAAAAAAAAAGTATGTATGATATTTATTTGAATTTTTCAGTGATATTATTATTATGCTTTCGTCTCGGTATGATAATTTGTGTTAACACTGTTGTTATAGATGTAACTTTATAAAAAGAAGTATATATTTAAATGGAACAGGACTATAAAAACCTAAAATTAATTTCACCAAATGTTTAAATAAATTATATAATTAAGAGATATAAAGTTTTAGCAATATCTAAAAGAATTTCACATCAATTAATTTCATGGACTTGACAGTACTGTTTCCATGCATTTTATTATCATATCTCATTGAAACAACTTTCCTTCACTGCTAGGTGCATAAGCATAACCTAACATGATATCTTTCTCTTCCTTTATATCCTTTTCTAATTCACTTATTCAGCACTTCCATTTTTTCTCAAAAATCTCTCTCTTTCTCTCTGCGCAATGGAGCATTCAGATGGCAACTCCACTGAACCACAGGCTGAAGATGAATCCAATCAAACCCGTTCACAACAAAGAACTGCCGCGGTTTTCACTGCCGGTTCCGCTGACATGTCTCCTATCACCGGCCCCGGCGACTTCTATAGGGAGTTCGTGTTGGAATCCAAGAAGCTTTGGTTCCTGGCAGGTCCGGGGATCTTCTCCTTCGTGTCGAAGTACTCCCTCGGCGCCTTTACTCAGATTTTTGCCGGCCATATCGGAACGATCGAGCTGACGGCCGTCTCCGTCGAGAACTCCCTCATCGCCGGCTTCTCCTACGGCATACTGGTAAAGTCCTGCAGATATATGAAACTGCTACATGTCTTGGCGAAAATAATTATTAATAAAAACTTACTGCAAATGGATAACAAGGCTTTTCATTATTCAAAAAGACTTCTCTCTTTGTTTATAATTATTCTTTTGTTTTCGTATGAAAGTGCCTGCATGCATCACTTTGTGTCAGTACTCCTTATGTGGTGATGTTTTCCATTCGTTTTCATATAAGAATATTTTTATTTGGGAAAATATACTTTGAGATGTTCTCTAAATAATTTGATTAATAAATTATAATTTAAATAATCATTTATGTAATACTTTTTTAAAACTGAGCTTTCATTTTTATTACAAAGAAAAAATAAAAAGGATTAAGTATAGTTTTAGGTTTTGAAATTCAATACGAAATTGAAATTAGTCTCAAACTTTTTATCTATTTTAGTTCTTAAAAATAAATAATCCTTTTTAAATCTGTTTGATAAACTTTATTTTCAGTCTATTTTAAAATACGCATTTAACACGTCATAAATTTTTAACTTATAAAAATTAAAATAATTATATTTGTTTGTTTTAAAAGTTTATAAACTAAAATATGTCAAAATTTTAAATTAAAAAATATATTTATTCATACAAATTTATAGATTAAAAATATATCAAAATTTTGAATAAAGTCAAATTTTAATTTTGCTCAAAATTCAGATTATAGAAACCTAGTTAACCCAAATAAAAATTAAAATTAGCAAAATAAGTTCAGCTCCGTAACAAGAATAAAAATGGATTGGATCGATGGTCCCCGTAGTCAATTAAGATTGAATATGTGATCCACTTTGTCAACTTTCTTTTAATTTTTTTCAATATATATATATATATATATATATATATATATATATGCTTTCTAAGTTTTTAATGATAATTAATATTTTAATTAAATAAACTAAAATAATTTTTTTGATTACATGTTAAACTATTATATTATCATTTATAATTGAAATTTATGTATTAAATAATAATAACTTTTCATTTACAATGCCACTATATATTTATATCCTTAAATATATATACTATAAGAAATTTAAAATTATTTTTTATTTATTTTTTAAAAAAAAGGGGCCAATACTATTTCATCCTGCTGTTGTTATCAATTTCACAGATTGGGGGCACTAAACTAAAACGAACTAATGAATTGAAATATTCTAAAAAGACTGGTCAAAATTTAAGTGCACCAACACTCTTAAAAAAATTATATATATTAAATTTGAATAAATTATTAAAAAAGTATGAATAGAAAATGATTAAATAAAGTGGAAAGCATATAATAATAATAATAAAATAAAAGTAAGACAAAAAAAAGAAGGTTTGCATGCATGCACAACTTCCATTAAAAGCGGAAAATAATAAAAAGAGAGGTAACTGAGTCACAGAGCAACTTTTGCTTTTGCTTTACTGGGTGGTGGATGATTAAGGAAGGAGGTAGATCAGTCACTTGTATATACTCTTTTGTATAAAAAATGATGAGTGAAAAAGTAAGTGTTTTTGTTTGTAATCTTTTGTGTTGTTTAGGTAATATAACGTTTTTGAAAAAAAGAGTAGAATGTAACATGATAACGCTTTGTTTGGAGCAGCTAGGGATGGGAAGCGCGTTGGAAACGCTGTGTGGACAAGCAGTGGGCGCAGGGAAGCTTAACATGTTAGGCGTTTACATGCAAAGATCGTGGGTGCTACTCTCGATCACGGCTTGTGTTCTATGCTTTCTCTACGTCTTCGCAGGACCTTTTCTCACTCTAATAGGCCAAGATCCAGAGATATCTCGAGCGGCAGGAAAATTCGCCATATGGATGATTCCGCAGCTGTTTGCGTACGCGTTCAATTTTCCGGTGGCCAAGTTCCTGCAGACGCAGAGCAAGGTCATCGTGATCGCTGCAATATCAGGGGTGGCCATGGCGCTGCACCCGCTCTTGAGCTGGTTACTCATCATGAAGGTCGAGTGGGGTCTGGTGGGTGCGGCGGTGGTGCTAAATGCGTCGTGGTGGTTCATAGTGGTGGCTCAGTTGGCGTATGTGCTCAGTGGTAGGTGTGGGGCAGCCTGGAAGGGGTTTTCATGGGAGGCTTTTGGCAATCTTTGGAGTTTCTTTCGCCTATCTCTTGCCTCTGCCGTCATGCTTTGGTCAGTCTCACCTGAACCTTTCGTTTCTTTCTTTTGTCTCTTTCACTTTTTCTTTTTTTATCTTTATTTATTTATTCATAAATAATAAAAATACCAAAATTTTAAAAAAATTTAAATTAATTTTTTTTAATTCTAATAGCGTTAAAGTCTTTGATTATACAATTTTAATTGTATTATAAAAATATTATTTGTCATAATTATTATTATGATAAAAATAAATATTAATAATAATATATTTGTTATTATAAATATATGGATATTTTGTTTTTCTTTAAATCAAATGAAGCCATATTAAAGAAACACGATTAAAATGAAGTTTCTTTTATACCCAATACATAATAATTATATTACAACTCTTTTGCAACAAGAAATACTCGTAAATTTTTTTTTAAAAAAAATCAAGTCATTAATTATTATATTTTTTTTTTTGCGATTTTAACTGCATCGTCATAATAATGATAATTATAATATTTTTTATTACAGTATTATTTATAGTAAATAAAATTAATATTAAAAAATTATTGTAAGAATAATAAAAATATTATCATTATTATTAATTATAACTACTATTATCTATTGAAATTGAAATAATATAAAAATTAAAACTTAATAATATTACAGTTAGTTTTTCATTTATTTGTAAAGTTTTGATATGTTGATTTTTTCTTTAACCTAAATTAATAAATAAATGAAAAAGAAAAAAAGAAAAACCCGACAAAACAGTACCAGTCCCTAATTATAATAATATACAACATCGTACAAGTATAAAGTATATACTTTAGAGAGTGTTTCTTTTATATATATATCACTATAGAAATTGTCGAACAATTTTATACTTCATTAGATTGTGAATATACCACTACTCTTATTATTTATGTTATGGAATAATTGAAAAAAGGGTTTTGACATGGACAAAACAAAAGCTGATTAATGACATATTACCATTTTAGTTGCAAAAGTTTTAAACTTAAATTGAATTGAAGACATTATGTGTCTTAGTCACTAATCCAGACGAACTGAGTACTTTTTTAATTTACAAGCAAACATGTCATAAGAGGATAATTTAAAAGTAGCATGGCACATTATGTTTTATTTACAACATCTTTTATATTTTCTTATCATATTATTTATTATTTTTTATACCTTTTCTTATCATAAAAGGTGAAGAAAAATGTCATTATCAAAACAATTAAATATTAAACAAATAAAAATAAAGTGGAAAAATGGATTTGAAACTAATAAAAGAAAAGTTGGCAATAAGAAGTGTTTCATTTGGTATTGATTTTTCTTTTTATTTAAAAGAATGAAACAATATGGGTTAATTATATATAGTGATTGAAACTCTATATTTTGTGAAATACATAACAATTTAATTTGAATTATGAAATAGGTGGTATAAAAAATATATATTTAATTTTATGTATATTTTGTCCGATGCATGCAGCTTGGAAATGTGGTACTTTATGGCTCTGCTTTTGTTCGCTGGATACCTCAAAAATGCAAAAATCTACGTAGGCGCCTTCTCTATCTGGTCAGTCACTATATAACAACATCTTCATTAAGGATATATCTAACAATTATATCTACAATTATAAGTTTAATACATCATTTTTAGGTTATTTTTATTATTATTATATTATAGGGTTTTATTTGGTTTTTATATTATTGTTAAGATTTGCTAATAATTTTTTTAAGACAATGATGTTATAAATTTATATTTGAATTTTTTAAAATCTAAAAATATTTTTTTTATTTTTATAATTAAAGGTGTCATTTAATATTCATAGTGCTCTTAACTTTTATAATATGGAATAATTTCTTATAAAGAAACTGGAATAGCACTTATGTTAAAAATAACTTAATTGAAAATGGTTAAGAGTATTAATAGAAACGCAAATTCTGTCTCTACATTGAATAACTTTATAGCTTATCAACTTTAATTAGTAGTGGCAGAACCACTAACCATACTTATCACTCTTTCTACAATCAATAATCACTTTTTCTATCTCTTTATTAAGTGATTTTTTGTACTGGATAATTTGCCACTAACTGCAATTATCACTTTTGCCATGCAATAGAGCTATCACTTTTTTTTTTCTTAATGGGTTTTGTACTAGATTGTTTGCCGCTAACTATAATTCTCTCTTTTTTTTCTATCTCTTTATTCACATGATTTTCTAGTAGGCTATTTTCTTACCTAATGTTAGATAAACAATAAATGGTATAAAAATATAGGAAAAAGTATCACCACTTACAAAAATAAACACAAACACAAACAAATAAATACACACACAACAAACACATATAAAAAATGAGATGATTATTGAAAAAAAAATCATAAATAGAGAGATGAATATAAAAAAAAAAAAAAAAAGAGTAGATAACTAATTATATGCAGAGATAATATTGTTGAAAGAAAATCACAAATAAAGAGATAATATTAGTTTTACTTTCAAGGTATTAGATGTATTTACTTTGTAGCGTGTTCTATTTTTTCTGTATCCTTTTTTACTTTTAACAATTTTTTTTCTTTAACTTAATAATTATAAAAAATCAATAACCAGAATAAATCTTTAAGTAAATGCCCTAATTATATTTTACTTTGCAGCATGAATATATTGGGGTGGACCATCATGGTATCTTTCGGAATGAATGCTGCCACAAGGTTTGATTACACTTTATACTAAACCAAAATATTAATTCTTGTTTATTCATCTCGTTTATTTTAGTTAATATAAAATTAAAAGTTAAATATATTTTTAGTGTTAATATTTTAAAATAAATTTATATTTGTTCTAAATTTAATATAATTTAATTTTTAAATTTTAGAAATAAATTAATATGATTATTTTAATTTAATTGTGTTAAATTTTTAAGTTTTAAACTTAAATTTAAGTTAGTTTAATATATTATATAACTCAGATGTCATTTTTAATTCTTAAAACGTGAACTAAAAAAAATTAACATAGTTATATTAAAAAGATTATATTTATTTATTTTTAAAAGTTTGAAAATTAAATTGTATTAAAGTTTAAGGATGAATTTTTATTTTGTATGAGTAAAAAGCATAATTTCATCTTAAGAATATATTTATATGTTTTCTCATAAGGTTATATAATTATCAAATAAATATGCATTCCATGATTTTGCAATTGGTTAATGTAGTAAGCTTTGGAAAAAAAAATGCAGTGTGAGAATATCGAATGAACTGGGGGCACATCACCCAAGAACAGCACTATTTTCTCTTGTGGTTGCTGTGATCACTTCCATTATGATAGGACTTTTTCTGGCTTTTGTGTTGATGGTCACACGGAATGTGTATCCTTCTCTGTTTTCCAACGACACAGAAGTGCAAAACATAGTGAAGGAGCTCACACCATTGTTGAGTTTTTGCATTATCATTAACAATGTCCAACCTGTTCTTTCAGGTAACATGTGTTCAAAGACAAAAACATCAATTTTCCTTTTGATTATTGCATGTCTCACACTTTCAATTTTATGCAGGAGTGGCCGTTGGAGCAGGGTGGCAAGCTTTTGTCGCTTATGTAAACATAGGATGCTACTACCTTTTCGGAATACCTCTTGGTCTCTTGTTGGGTTATAAGTTTCACCGAGGTATTAAGGTAAAGCATGAGATATATGTAAAATTCACCTTCTTAAATTGATTTATTTTTGGAAAAGTTATTTGATCATATCGAGTTGTGAATGGTTGGGTTTTAGGGAATCTGGCAAGGAATGATATCAGGGACTGTGCTGCAAACGATTGTTATTTTGGTGATGATTTACAAAACTAACTGGAATAGAGAGGTAAAATAGTATGAAAATTTGCAAGTTCAAGTGAACTCTTGCTTTTGAGCATATAAACAATTAATTATTAATTTGAACTACACAAAATTATAGGCCTCTCGTGCTGGAGATAGGGTACAGACATGGGGTGGACAAAAAGTAGGGAACGACAAAGAAAACACAGAAGAAGAAACTTGAATATTGCACTCCCAGAATTGGTACGATAAGATGAAATATGACATTTCAACTCAGCTCAAAAAAGATTTACCAATTTTTACAAACTTTTAGAAATTTTAATTTCTTGCATTTATAATTAATTTAGTCTTTAAAATGCTTTGTTTAGATAAACTATTATGTTTTCATCAAAATGTGGAGTGTCTTTGGACGTGCTGTTAGTGAAGTGATGTATTTGTGTCGTGTGGTTGATTATGATGAGAAACATTCTGGAGAAGGTCTTTCAAGAACAGAATGGAGGTCCACTGCAGAAGATTCTCTTATGGTTAAAAGTTAATTACATTGTTTTCGTGTAGACTTTCGAACTATATTTAGTTAATAATAGTTACCTTCGGACTTGTTTAAACATAAAATCCTTATTCTTTTCAGTAGCGAATTAACCAATAGGCTCAACAATAATGTTCTTAACGGGAGTATTTTCCAAAATAAGAAAAAACATGACATTTAATTAAAGGAATGATAAAGTGACAAACTTTTACATTTACTTAACAAACAGCATAAAAGTAAAATAATCATACAAATTTATGTATCAAAGTAAAATAATATCAAATAAAATGTAAAAAATTTATGTATCAAAGTATAATTTTTATTTGGATTATTATTTCTCACTTTCAAGATAGGTCTCCAAGGCTTGTATAGAATGCATAAAGCTAGTTGGAGAGCTACGATAAATATTTTAAGAAAACAATGTTTCAATCCACCCTCTTTAGCCATGAGCTAGATTTGAAACTCTTTCAACTTGAACAAAAATATACTGAAGGACAAACTTTCTCATGCTTACTGATGTAATTCTCTTGTGTAACATATGAACAATTTCACTCATATGGATTCAATCTTGTTCTCAAGTTTGATGTTTCACGATAGATCATAGAATGTTTGATATAACATTATAACTATTTGTTTGACTATATAAATTCACGTCCATGTTTGCTTTCGAGAGTACATCCAATAATTTGTAGACATGAATGAATGGTGAAAAGATAATTCATTGGAAAGGTTGCTGAGAATGGTCTCCTTAGAAAAGACTGTCCAAATTGACCAAAGTTTATGGGTCACTCTGGCCTACACAATGGTTTAGTTGACATAATATCCAACCAACCAAAGCTCTAAATTTAGTTGATTATTAAAAGGACTAAATATGATTTACTAACTGATGTTGGACTATCAATAATTTGAAGTCTATTTAACTAGCATCGGACCAGTCTCATCAAAATAAGGAAATTGGACTTCTAAATTATATTTTTAACCCCAAATCCAGCAGAAAATCTATAGCATCTTAAACAATTTTGTTGGGGGACTTCTCAATTATGTTTTCATACAGTATTTTGAGTTCGTTGATCTTTTTTTCTAACCAATGTCTACAAGTGCTTCTGGAAAACAAGGGAATAAAACCCATGACTGCAAAAAACTCAATCTACAACTGCGAAATTAATCCATATCACAGCATTGCAAAACATAATTCTGCAACTTATAAAACAATCCGTATCACAGCATAAACCAAATTCTGCAAACACAAGCATGCCGTATCACACAGCATTCAACCAAAGCAACTGCTACCACTCTAAAACCTTGCCCCAATAGTGGTACTAACTAAATTCAATTAAAAACTTAAGCACGCTGTAGTAATGAATCACAAACATTTACACAAATTCAGAATTCCACATCCGAAAACAAAAATCAACTCACTCAATGGCATTTCACTTCATCTCATCACTCATTGTGTACGTGGAACACAGTAACCGCGCAGCCCAAATGATGAAACCAGACCAGATATCAGAGCTCCAAAAAACAAGCGAAAATTAATTCTATAAATTATCTAATCAACCAAAAACAAGTTTATAAGCTTTTAGGTCAAATTTTTGGCACAAATATTTAATCATCCTAAATCCGACAACAAATTAAAAACAAAATATATCACTTGCAATATATAATGTAAAAAAATATCCAAAACAAAACGAAAACACATTAACTTGCAATGTATATAAAAAAAAATAAAACCGATTAAACCTAAGCGGTGAGAACAACAGCGCCCCCAGCTTCCTTAATCTTCTTCTCGGCGATCTTCGAAATAAGCTTGGCTTTCACAACGAAGGGCTGGTTTTCGGGTAGGACGCCTTTCCCAAGGACCTTAAAGTATCCATGCTGTGTGACGTCAATGACAGGGGCAGTGTCCTTGGATTTTAGAGCTTTGTCCTTTGCCTCCTGGGGCAGGAGAGACCAGAGCTTGTCGATGTTGACGATGGGGCAATGGAACTTGTTGCGGAGCTTGTGGAAGTATCGCATTCCCACCTTCCCGAAGTAACCAGGATGGTACTTGTCGAACAGGATCCGATGGTGGTGCATGCCACCGGCATTTCCCCGACCTCCGGGGTGCTTCCGGTGCTTTCCAATACGACCGTGACCGGCACTCACGTGGCCACGCTTCTTCCTGTTCTTCTTGAATCGGGTCGTCATTGCTCTGCTCTCTGTCTTCGGCCGCACGATCTAGGGTTTGGGGATAAGTAAGATTTATTGAGTGAGCTTTACCTCTTTACTCCTAGGGTTTGGAATTTATTGGGCTTTTGTGACTGAGACCTAATGGGCCTTACATATGGGCTATTACAGTCTGCAACCCATATTGTACTAGTCACCCGCTTCTTTTCAAATATCCATTTATGCCCTTTATGTGTTATAAATTAGAAGTCTATGAATTTGCCGAGGGTGTTGCTCCTCCACCACCACTCTTCTCCCTCTGTCTCCCCAACTTTCTCAACAAAAAAAATTTTAATTACAAAAATAACCATTTTTATTTCTCTTCTTTCAATTTCTTCTCAATCTCACACAAAATTTTTTCTTTTCACACGCAACTCACCTACAGCTTATACATATTAATAAAAAAATTGTTCCTCAGTCCAAACAAAAATCATTTATGGGGATCAAGTTAACGTAAAATTCCTTGTTCTTGTCTGAGATAGTTAATCGAAATCAACAATGTTGTCACGGTATTGGAAATAAAACAGCACAAAGTTCAAATTCAACCCTATGCCCTACTAAATCTTCAGAAATATTGGCACCCACTTCTGTGAGGTCTTTACCTCTTTCCTCCAGCCTTGTAGAAAATTTAACAGCCTGCTTTCCAATATTAAATGGAAATGATGACTTCAAAACGCTCTGCAAGAACTGTTGTGAAAGTTCAAAACGTTCGCTGCCAGTGCCCCCAACCTGTCAAATGTTAATGTAATTAAACCCTTAGTAAAAACTTGGGCACACACACAAACTAAAAGAACTCTATATCAAAACAGTTGAGTCAGAAATTTTATGAAACTATAATTTGTGTGTTTATTTCTTGTCATTCTCAACCTAACAAAATCATGTTACATACATCGATGAAGCTTGCAATGAAAGATAACCTAACAACCGACTAATAGAAGACCAATACTAATTTTCTGCATGGCTGGAGGAAAGATGCAAAGACCTCACAGAAGTGGGTGCCAATATTTTTTGCATGACTTTCCTTCATATACTGTATTTTCGTTGTTACCTTTCCCAAATTCCAAACACTCATTATTGCTGCCGCAAACGGAACCCAACAAGGAAGATAATAATGTTGCTTCTCAAATTAGAGATGGGAGATGAGATAAAACGGATATGGAGGAGTTTGAGAGTGGGGGAAGAATCTAAAAAGAGAGAAGGAGAGTTGAGAGGTGAGACTGAGTGAAAAGTGAAAATGGGTAGGATTTGAGTTTAAAGTAAATAAATAAAGTTAAAAAAAAAAAGGTTATGTTTTTAATTAAATTTTTTTTTTGAGAAACTTTGGGAGGTGAGGGAGAACGGGTGGTGGTGGAGGGAGCAACACCCATTTGCCTAATGCTTGTGTCATCGTGGCCCTTGCACGTGGAACCATTACACAAAATACGTATTATTGTAGATAAAAAAAAAGTTATTTTCCATCTCATTATTTATTTTTTTGTAAATTTATCTATGAAAAAAAACCTACATCAGAATCTTAAGAAATAAGTTTTTGCTGTGCTATTTTCATAAATTTTAAAAAATGGTAGATAAAATAGGTAAACAAAATGGTAAAGTCTAAAAGGTATAATTAAGTTTGAAAAATTATGATAAATTTAATAAATTTTAATTGATTTTTTTTATTGAATTTATTAAATACTTAAAAAATTGATTGTATATTTGTTGTTTAATTTTTCGTTTGACTGCTGATATGACGTTAATTTTGTATGGTAAGGTTGATATCCTCGTGTTAATAATCACATAACAAAATTAAGAGTTATATTATCATATTAATAAAAAATTAAATAATAAGAACTTTATTGAAATATAATTTTTAGTATAGAGAACTAAATAATGGTATTGAAGTGATAAGTGATTTAAAAATAACGAAATTTAATTATTTTAATATTAAAAGATTTTAATATAATTAGTTTGATGACAAGTTAGTTTTATTATTTTAAAGCATATAATTTTTTTATAAAAAAATTTCTAAAGTTGTCTGAACTTTTTTAAGAATTATCATCTTTTGTCTATTTGTTTGAAGATCGAAACCACTTAAGTAATCATCACAGTGAAATATTCAAGTTTAATCTATCAGTTTCTTATATAAAATAAGTTGATTTTTGATTTTTGTTTTTCTTGCATGCTAGCTCTCTTTGTTTTGCATGTAAAATTTGAGTCTTTTATAAGATTATCTAGTGATCAATGGAGCCAATAGTGTACTCCAATCGTATTTTTGTGGTTTGTAGGAGCATATAGAAATTCATGTATGTTGGAGTTGTTTTAGACTTTTTAAAGCGGTTTAATTTTCTATTAGATAAGAGAAGCTAATAGTTGCTTTAATCTGTGTTAAGAAGTATGAATTCATCTTTGTAGGTTATGAGAATGATGTTTGATTGAACATGTTATCATTTAAGATAATTATTTAGTAATAATTGTGTTTGATGAATGAATTTGAAGTATGGATGAATGTTGTTGCGAATGATTGTGAATTGGTACTTGCTTGAACTTTGAATGTTGTTGTTTGGAGTTCTAGGAGGTACAAATTTTTATAGAATTAAGATTAGTGAAAATGAAGTGTTTTTGGGCTGGTTGTCGATCTAAATTGAGATTTTGGTAGGTGCATTTATATAAGAATGATTTTGGAACTATATCTTGTTACCAATAAGGTGCATTGGTATTTTAAAAGATAATGATTTTGATGATGCAACAAGAGAAGAACTCGAAGAATGAAGTTGTAATTTATTTAAAAGCACTTTTGTAGACTGAAAATGTATTAGGAATAACTTTGAACATGTAAACACTTAGAAATTTCATGTCTTTAGGATATCTGCGCATATAATAGATTATTTGATGTAATAATCGATTATCATGAGCCTTTTTGAAAAACCATTGCTCTCGCAGATAATCGATTATTGCTTGAAATAATCGATTATCCTGGTCTGGATGAGAATTGCCCAAGTCTCGCAGATAATCGATTATTCCTCAGGATAATCAATTATCACTCTTTTGAAAACCCTGTAACGGACTTGAATAATCGATTATTACTTACAATAATAAATTATCATTGACAGTTGTATTGTGTCTTTTTAATTTCAGACCTCTGGGCTATATATAGTTGTCTAAAACCCTTAGAGGGTTTATCTAAGTCATTTGAGAATACAGTGTGTTTTGAGGAAGTTCTCAAGTGTTAGTTCATCACTCTTGTCAAGTCTTATGAGTAGGAGAAGCTCGCGCTTTGTATGTCAAAGGTCGGAGCGGTTCTCTTTAAGTTGGCAAAGTTGTTCTCTTCCGCTTTGTTAGTCGAAGGAAGATACTTGTTGCACTCTTCCGGTTCGTCTGTCGAAGGAAAGTGTTGGCTACTTGCTTCCGGTTCGTTTGTCAAAGGAAGCTTCCTTCCTGTTCGTTTGTCGAATAAAGGTTTTGCTTTTCTATTTACATTCACTATTCTATAATCTATATAAACTGTGAAACTGTTTTTAGTGAAAAAGGTTAATCACTATTCATAGTGATTAATGACTGGACGTAGAATCTTTTGATTCGAACTAGGATAAAAGTCATTTGTGTGATTTTTTCTACTCCCTACATTTTTTACATTTTTTGCACATCAATTGTTTGATAAAACATTTAAGAGAAAATTAAAGGAACCATTTTTAAAATTGACCGAACAAGTTCTTTGCTTTTAACAATATATATCGTACTCTGTGTTTTTATATTTCTGCTGCGCAATAACGGTACCGATTGTTCCAACATATCTGATGTTAAGGAGTTGTTTTAAAATCATTACAAACTTGTCTAGAACTTTTATTAACTATAAATCTGATGTTGAGTTGGTAATTAGTTAATAGGTTGTTTTTAATCTATTGTAGGGTTTTAATAGGTGAAAATCTAAAGGAGTAAGCTTGTGATAAAATTGAAGGTTTAGGGTTTGTCGTTAAGTCAATCGTGACTTGTTTTGATATTGATTTTGCTAAATTTTGGTTTATAATGTATAAAATTGGTTATATGTATTTTTTAGTGGTTGGGTTGGTCTAATGCATATTGTTCATGACCAAATGAGCAAAATTTCATCAATAAATGTGTTTTTGCATCAATCCTGGTGTTAGAGAAGTCAATTTGGTCATTTGGATAGGTATAAAGTGCATATAAATTAGAACAACAAGTTTTTGTAATCCGATATGACGTTGAGCGACCATGTGACAATGTTGCCAAAACAGTGAGCCATTGTGCTCCAGGGCGCTAAGCGCTCCATTTTGGTGTTAAGCAGTTTTTTACAAAGGGTTTTTAGGCATTGGGCGAGTCTTGTGTCGCTAGATGAGTTAACAGTGAATAATGGTTGCATGTTTCAGGGACTGAGTGAGAGTTCTCGCTGGGCTTAAATAACTCTCTGTTTGCGCTCTCGTTGGGCATTGGGTGAGCTCATTGGGCGAGCATGGTCTGGCGTTGAGCGCCATGATTCTGGCACTAAATGCCTTGTATTTAGGTTTAGGTTTTTGTTTACTTTTGTTTTGTTTCTTATGTAATGTTTAGTAATATCTATTGAATTATATGATGGTTTATACATGAGGTTATGTATGTGTTTAAGTATGGTTTAAAAAGAGTTTTTAAATGGAAAATCTTAATGGTTGTTTCAAGTAATGTATGTATTATTATAGGAACTCTGGGGGATATCCTAACACTCTAATAGTCATCAATTCTCAAGTATAAAATGGTGAGACATGTGGTAAGAGTAGTAGTAGGTCATAATTTATGACTTTTACCTTTACCTAAGACATTTAATGGACTAACCTTGTATGTGATATGATGAAACTTATTGACAATGGTTCTGTAGAGTAGTAGAAACCATCACAAGTGCATAACGTACCATAACTCGACAATATATGTATCCGGATGTTTGAGTCTATATTTTTAAGATATGTTGTGTTGTGCTTAGTTTGAAAGTGAAATATAATATATGCTAATTTATGAATTTCATGTTTTATTCTTTTGATATTAGCTTACTTTGTTGTGTTTTTATCTTTGTGTATTTGTTTTCTCTTTTACAGATTATAGATTATGTGTGACCATAGGAGTGTTAAGATATAAAATAGAAAGATTAATTTCACTATTCTCTTCTTAATATAAAAACCTTATTATTTGTTGGTTAAGTGTAATAATTGGAATATTAGTGTAATGATTGGAATGTTACTTACATCATAAAAATTTAATATTAATAAAGGTTCATTTAAAATTTTCACTAATTTGAAATTTAATTAATCAATATAAAATTTAAAAGAAAAGATGGAGAAAGAAGGAAATAAAAAGAATTGTAATCCACTCAGAGAAGAAGATCTTGTTGAGTTCAAAATGGTCACTCCCACAAGTTTGGAATTCTGCACGCCTCATTAACACAAGTAATTTTATAAATCCAAGAAAAAGGCAAAAACATTTGTGGACACTTCTTTGACGAATTTCTTGCAGTTCAATCTAAATAAAAATAATAATAATAATTTTGCACGTGTTTAAAAAAATGACGAGGATAAACGACGTCGTTTGGTGGCGTGCGTTTGTGGTGAAGCTAAGGAACAACAAGTATATTCAAGACAGAAGCTGAAGCAACCTTAACCATTTGATTTCCCTCTTCTTTGTTCTCCATACTTATGGTCCACAGCAATATACACACTCCTCTCAAGCTCCCACCGTTATCCCAACCCCATCTTCCTCTTCCCACGCGCTTCACCACCATGCCTCTTCTACTCGCTCGCACACCACCATCTTCACTTCCTCCAATCCTTCACCACCACTACAACAACAACAACCACCACCTTCTAATCGCACCTTCTCAGAAGCGCTTCCCTCTCATTGCAGGGCCAATTCTTCTTCCCCGGCGCATTCTAGCATCATCGCCTCTCAAGTGCGCCTCCATCAACGGAGTCCCCATTCTTAACAATCCCGAAGCTTCCACAGAACAAGTCCACGCCGGCGAGTTACTTCAGAGGATTCGCAAATGGCTCGACTTTTTACCGTTGATACTTCCCGGCGGGCGGTGGTGGGACTTCTCTGACGACGTTGACGTTCAGCTGGTGGCGCAGCCGGTGACCGTGTGGCGCGCGCTAGGCAAAATGTGGGAGCTTGTCGCGCGTGACAGATGGGTGATCATCGCTGCTTTCTCTGCTCTCATTGTTGCTGCTGTGAGTAGCTTTTTTTTTCTTTGCTGGTTTATTTTTATTCGGTCTGTGCCCATTTTGTGTGGTTCCAAGGTGGGGTCAAAGTTGTGAGTTTTTTCTACGTGGGTTTCAGGTTTCGGAGATTTCTATTCCGCATTTCTTGACGGCGTCCATTTTCTCGGCACAAAGTGCGGACCTTGCTGTTTTTCATCGGAATGTACGCTTGTTGGTTCTGTTGTGCGTGACTTCGGGAATATGCAGGTCAAAATCTTGTATGGTCGAATCTCCCTTCTACTTGCTGAAAGTGATATGATTTTTTTCTTTTCTTTCATTTGTGAGTCTTAATTGATGGTGCTGAAAGAACCTTCCATAAGAAAACGCAATGGATTTGCTCTTTAATCCTTTTATCGTTATTGAGACCAATCATAAAGTCGCTTTTCACGGTTTACCGAGAAGCTAGTAGTTATAACTTGTATAGTATGTTATTAAAATTGAACTTTTTTTTTTTTTTTGCGTTCAATGATGCCCTCAGTTCTGTGTCATTTGAAACTTTTTGTTACCGGTGAGATTTGAGTATTCGTAACAAACATTTTCCTGTGCTTCAGTGGGATACGAGGTTGCTGTTTTGGCATTGCAAACATGATTCTGGTGAGTTTATCTGTCTGATATTTGGGGATGGGGATTCTGTGGTCCATGTAAAATCCTTTAGAGCATAATGGAATAAGAACTGCAGTTATCGAATTAAGATCATGTGCTTCAGCAGTGGCCATGTTGTAGCCTCCCCGTTCCCGATACTTTGACTTTGTGTTTTCTTCAACTCTTGAGTGTAAGTGACCTTTCAAACTTTGGAAATATGTGCAGGTTAAGAGGATGAGAGAAACGCTATACTCTTCTCTTCTACTGCAGGTTTGCCTGCTCTCAGTAACTGATTCTCTTGCTGCATTCATTTATTTCCTTTGTTTGGTGTATGATTTAACTCATTCAGCAGTGTACTTATTGTAGGACATATCGTTTTTTGACAATGAAACGGTAGGTGATTTGACAAGTAGGCTTGGGGCTGATTGTCAACAAGTGTCAAGAGTTATTGGAAATGATCTTAACTTGATATTGCGCAACTTTCTTCAGGTTGATTTAGTTTTGATAGACGTAATGCAAGTAAAATTCATCTCACATATTAGAAGCTTTAATTGTTTTTTCTCATCTTGTTAGGGTGGAGGTTCATTAATCTACTTGTTGATTTTATCTTGGCCACTTGGTTTATGTACATTGGTGATTTGCTCCATATTAGCAGCAGTCATGTTACGCTATGGAAGGTAAACTTATGGTTTATTTTCTTCAAATTCATCCTTTCAAAAACACAAATTTTATTTTGCATTTGTAGTTCCTGCCATTGACTAGTTCAGGCATGTCTGGTGATGAAAATATCAACCAGAATGTGGATCAATGCTAGTCATGTTGAATTTTTCTTAATTAAATCAATTGGTAGACTCTAAATAATTCTCATCTCAAGAAATATGTCTCTGTAAAAGCTAAAGGGCTCTGCCTTCTTTCCAAAATCTGCTACAATGGTGTTATTGAGAATTTGAGATATTTATATATTTGTAAAAACGAAATATCAATGCTTTTAAGTTCCCTTCAAGGCTTCTACCGCTCTCCTTGTGTCTCCTTTATCCTAATGGTATTGATTTGCGCATATTTTTTTGTGTAGTTACCAGAAAAAGGCAGCAAGGTTGATCCAAGAAGTCACTGCTTCGGCAAATGATGTATAGAATAAGATATCTTATATTATACTATATTTTCCTTTATGTTTCCTAAATGCAATCTTAGTAACAAATTTTCTCATAGGTAGCTCAAGAGACATTCTCTCTTATTAGAACTGTACGAGTTTATGGAACAGAAGAAGAAGAATATGGAAGGTGATGATCCTACTACAATTTTGTCGTTTATTATTTTGTATTCCTGTTATTTCTCTGCCATAACACATGCTGTCCATTTCTATCTACAGGTATAATTGGTGGCTAGGGAAATTAGCTGACATCAGCTTGCGACAAAGTGCTGCTTATGGAGTTTGGAATTTTAACTTTAATATCCTTTATCATTCAACTCAGGTATAGCTAAGGTTTTCTAAAATCATATATTTATCCATTTTATTTATTTATTTCATTTTTTTTCCTTTTAACCCTGTATGTAATCTTATTGTTGGAAGAAAGCTTGTTGAATTAGTAATCAATAAACTTTTTGAAGTTTAGTTAAACCTTTATAATTGACTTGTTCTTTTATTGAAACATAAAATCTTATAGGTTATTGCTGTGCTATTTGGAGGAATGTCTATTCTAGGGGGTCATATCACAGCTGAGAAACTTACCAAGTTTATTCTATACAGTGAATGGTTAATCTACTCTACCTGGTGGGTGGGAGACAATATATCCAATTTGATGCAATCAGTTGGGGCTAGTGAAAAAGTATTCCATTTAATGGATCTCTCCCCTAGCAGCCAATTCACAGAAAAAGGCAAGTTCTTTTAGACTCATTTATTTGAATGAACACCTTCATATTAACTTAAGTCCTTTTCGTGCTTTTTTTTTAATCTTTTCAAGTCATCACCTATCCAGGGACTGCCTAGTCCCTGCATTTTCAATTCTTATTCTACTTGTACATTGAGCATTGATATTTTCCCTAGAATTGTAAGGGATAAATTATTATTTTATCAAACTATGCAATAAGTAAACTTTGTAGTTTACTTGTGAGGAATAAGGATGCTCACACTTATACCAACTGTAATTGTTTTAAAACTGTAGATACTTGCTTGACACTGGTGGTCGTCATAAGCAATATAGGTTTTTTGTTTTAAGAAAAACTAGCTACACCTGTAGTGAACTGACTGGGTCATCAAATGAAGTGTCCTGCAGTTATGTCATGTGCCGCTCCCAATTTATTATTCAACTACAGCATGTGCATCTATTGTTATTCCTCTACCAACAACATTACATTGATGAATAAATAACTAGAGAAAGTGAAACATAATGAATTCCCGCATAACTTTTGTTTGTTTTAATTTTACTATATTGAAGTTTGGGTGTAACTTTTGTTTCAGGTATAAAGTTGCAGAGGTTAATGGGGTGTATTGAGTTTCTAAATGTATCTTTTCACTATCCTTCGAGGCCAACGGTAGACCTTTATTTCTCACACCTTCACTTTTTTAGAATTGTAGCTATTTGATTCCATCTGTGTTCCTCGGTTACTTCGCAGAAGGATGAATCTTGCTACAATAGGAATAGAAAAGTTCATTACTGAGATTTTAGGCACTCCCCTCCCCAAAACAAAGTGGGTGCATAAATTGTTCTCTTTATAGTAGTATATGACTGGGAATTGTGCATGTATGCAGTGAAGTTGTATAGTGTCTTACATTTAGGAAAATGCATGTTCAATAGAAGAATGTGCTGATTGAATTTTAAAAATAATATTTTGAGCGGGAGGGCTCTGGGGGGTTGGATTCTAGTGTGTTTATATGATTCTTTGATAGAATACTTAGAGTATATGAAAGAAGAAAGAATAAATGAGTGGAGAAAAGGAGGTGCGGTTGATCAGTTAGTAATACTTGAGATTAAGAACTGTAAAAATATATTCTTGAGGGCTTAACAGATCCCTCTCATTATCTTCTATATATATATTGAAAAATCAAGAGTACATGGAACACCAAGAGTCTACACTAGACCTCTGGGCACAGAACTAGGTACCACTCATTACTGGTCTAGCAGACTAGCCTTAATGATGATATGTAACAGTAATTATTCTAACAGTAATAATTAGTAGGAGGAAAAAGCGGAGCTGTCGGTTAGTCAGTAATAAAGAGGGAAATGGGGTTGTATAAATAGGGGAATGGGTTGTACAGGGGGGTATTCTTTTTGTATACTGTTAGGTATAGACTGGACATCTATTCCAGTGGAGGGAGAGAACCTTCTAGGAGGTTGAGATTGTACATTGTTCATTCTTTCATCAATAATAGGCATTCTTTCATTTCTTGATGGTGTTGGTGTGTGGGTTGTTACGTGTGATTGACTTCTTGACAAAAGAAGTCTATCATTCTTCCCCACTGCACTACACACCTTGTGCATGCATGCAACTTCAACGCAATTTCTCATGTTATATGATGGATATGACTATCTAGCTTTCTCAATTAGCAGGTTACCCAGTGTATTCAATCTGATTGTGCATCTATATGGAATTAAGATTGTCAATGTTATTTGTTAGGTATACTGGCTTAAGTAATGGCAGATATTGTAACAGGTATCTGTAGTGCAACATGTTAGCTTTGCTGTCCATCCTGGTGAGGTGGTTGCAATAGTAAGAAACCACATCTCATCTCTTCAATTCATTCTTTCCATGCACTATGGATGAGATAATCTGCCGTTTCCTTTGACTTGTGTCATAGGTTGGACTTAGTGGTAGTGGAAAAAGCACATTGGTGAATCTTTTGCTCCGTCTCTATGAGCCTACGAATGGTCAGGTAGAGTTAGTTTATCTCATTACATTTGAGTGGACTTGTATGGTTGGCTTAAAAAATTATTGGAAGAGAAGAGGGACTATTTTTGCTTTTTCTACCTCTATTCAATTGGCTAAAAGGAAATTCCCTTTCTGCCCTAGTAAGATGACCATCTCTTCAGTTTAATAATTCACATGACATAATTGGATTAATCTCTAGACTTGGAACAAGAAGTTTTGAGAGAGCTACTGGTTTTTCATTTCCTGCTTTCTGAGAACGGATATTGACTAGAGATTTCTTTCATGGAATTATATTATATATGTAGCACCTATTACCGGTTAGTCTGCCTGACAATGTTTTTAGAACAGATAGTACGTTCCTTTAATATAATCATGATTCATGACACAGTTTTGTTGCAGATTTTGGTAGATGACATCCCTATTCAAGACTTGGACATCATGTGGTGGAGAGAGAGAATTGGATTTGTGGGCCAGGTTTATGTTTCCAGCATAGATAAAATTCAGCGAATATATATTTCTTTTCTCTTACCAAAAATTTGTTTGTACAGGAACCCAAACTCTTCCGGATGGATATTAGTTCAAACATTAGATATGGATGTAGAGATGTAAAGCAGGAGGATATTGAATGGGCTGCAAAGCAAGCCTATGCTCATGACTTTATCTCAGCACTTCCCAATGGTTATGGGACACTTGTTGATGATGATCTGTTAAGTGGAGGACAAAAGCAGCGAATTGCTATTGCTAGGGCCCTTCTTAGGGACCCAAAAATATTGATCCTTGATGAAGCCACCAGTGCACTTGATGCTGAAAGTGAGCATAATGTCAAGGTGGGCCACTGAAATTACTAGAAGCCAGATTGCATGCTAAATATTTAACTGTGAGAAAGATTGCAAAGATACTGATACTTGAGTTTCCATAATATGTAGGGTGTTCTTCGGTCTGTGAGAAGTGATTCTGCAACCAGAAGTGTCATAGTCATCGCACACAGGTGATAATTTTCTTGTCAGTGTCAATGAACTGAATTAAGTGGTGTTCCGACTATTAGTTTTGAAGTGTATGAGCTGCCTTACAGGCTTTCTACCATACAAGCAGCTGACAGGATTGTGGTGATGGATGGTGGTCAAATTGTTGAGGTTGGTAAACTATTGTTTCATTTTGAATGCTCTAAAATTTCTAACATTGGAAATCATACAAAAGGTTAGGTTTGGAAGGTTATACATGTACTGTGATTATGAATTTGATTCCTCAAACTCTTGTGCAAGATTGTGATGGATATTGTAGGCTAGGACCATGAAGCAGTAATTGTTCCCATACTTCTTTTTAGCTTAGGCTGAGCCATTGTTTGTCAGAAAGGTTGTTGCCAAGATTGGAAAAAGACCATTTAAAGGGACAAGACCGTTTTTCTACCCTTCCTAGCCTCCACTTGATCAGAACGGAACCTCCTCCATTGGATGAACTCTTTTTTTGTATAATACTATGCAAGATAAAACTCACGTGAAGTTGTTACCCTCACTGAACTTAGAGTAGAATGTAACGTATGGGCAAAATAGCAATTCATAAAATGTCTTATTGAAGGAAAATACTAAGCTGGGTTTAGAAGGAAAGACAATTCAGAAAATATGGAATTAAAAGAAAATACTGAGATGGATTTAGAAGGAAAGTAGTTACGTGAAGGAGTCTAGTGCCATATGATCCGAATCAGAGTGGTCAAAGGAAAAGCATGAGGCCAATAACAGAAATTGCTGGAACATAACATTGGCGTTTGAATAATAGGATTGAGATGCAGCGTTCCTCAATCCCATATGCAGCAAAACCGCTCGCATAAACCATTACAACAATACGTATGAGTACCCCTTATTCACTAGTTTAACTCATTTGGTTTATTAATATACATGTTTTGTGTTGGAAGTCCCACATCAACTAGAGATAAGGCCAAATTATAATATATAAGTGAGGTGCAAACCTCACCTTACAAGCCGGTTTTGTGGGGTTGAGTTAGGCTTAAAATCCACTTTCTAACATGGTATCAGAGCCTGGTTCTTGTAATATATCAAGAGCATACTTCCTTTGGGAGATTACAACTCCATCTTTTGATTGCGCTACTTCAATGCCTAAGAAGTATTTGAGACTTCCAAGATCCTTGGTTTGAAAATGTCTACACAAGTACTCTTTTAGTTGAGATATTCCAACAGCATCATTTCCTGTAATGACAATATCATCAACATATACTATTAAGTAAACACATTTCCCGAGAGAAGAATGACAATAAAAAACTGATTGGTCTGCTTCACTGCGTTTTAGCCCAAATTTTTGAACAATGGAGCTAAACTTTCCAAACCAAGCACGTGGGGATTGCTTGAGGCCATATAGAGATCGATGCAATTTGCATACCATACCAGACTCCCCCTGAGCAACAAACCCAGGAGGTTGCTCCATATAAACTTCTTCCTCAAGATCACCATGTAGGAAGGCATTCTTGATATCCAATTGATGAAGTGGCCAGTGACGAATGGCTGCCATGGCAAAGAAGAGACGAATAGTAGTCATCTTGGC